GAATGAACACCCTGTATATGTGTATACAATTGAAAGTGTTATTTTACTGCGCTCACAATAGAAACAAATGTTAGAACGACTGAATACATACATAGATGCGATCAACTTGAAATTTGAGTTATTTTCAGTATCAGGAGCACAAACAAAAAAAGTTTGCTTTATGACTACACCAGTGGCGTAGACACTGGGATAGTTAAGCTCTGATAGAAGGAAAAAGACAAATATTTCCTAGGCCACTAACTTTTCTGAAACATCTATTGCATTCTTATATAATACATATTGTTTATCTTGAGAAATTTTTGTCAAGTGATTCGTTTTGAAGAAAGATGGGTTTTAATGTTCAAGATATAAACGTAAAAAAATCAAATCGGTTCTCATTTGGCACTAGCCTAGGTGATGTTAGGTATACCACAGCGTTATTTGATAAATATACATGTTTTCTCATAGGTGTCCCCAGTGACGTAGAAATGTTAATATTCGTTATTCGTTAATGTGGGAATTTAGGACCTATGTGCATAGAATATAATAGAGTAATACTTTATCTGTGCGAGCCTGTGACGAGGATACAAAACGTCAAAAAAGTCGAATAACGAGTTACTCGCACAAACATTCATTTGTAGCATAAAATATCTTATTTAAGCTTACTTATCAGCTTACTTTTGAACAAAGATAAGCTGATAATCTAAAGGTAAATTATTATACATGGCACTACATAAATACATCGGACTTTTGTTATAAGCACTAAGATTGAAATTTTTAATATGAATATGTGTAACTACATAATCCAGTATCGTAGGGGTGTAGCTCACTGCGCTGGGAAAATACCATAAAGCTGTGTGTTCCTTAACAAATAAGCATTAATCATAATATATTAATGTTGACGGTGAATTTAAATTAAATTTTAATCATCTTCAAATACTGGTCCACAGCTGTGCAGTGGATTGAGACTAATCTAATCAGCCTCCTTTGCAGACTAAATATTCTCTGTATGCCTCAAGAAATAACCCAATATATATGTACAGGGTGTTTCAGTTTATTGTTGCATAACTTTGAGATTCGATAGAACTTTTAAAATTAATGCATAAAGTCTATATAAACATGGATCGAAAAATGCGTGGTTTCCGAAATACAGGGTGTTTAAATTTACTTTCTAAAATAGTTTTTTTTTAAATATTTCGAACAATATTTGTATAATGTATAACAGTGAAAATTGGTATACAAGGGTTTTTTGGTACGACAAAATGAACCATGGGCATAGTTTTACTGTAGCCGCTAGAGGGCGCTCTCTACTGTACCTGTAGTGTATTAAAAAGACCGAAAAAATTTTCTTTGTGCAATTTTTTGCTTTTTGAATAAAAAAACTGATTCTTCCCACTGTTCAACATAAAAAGCTCTCCTGTGAGTTTTCGTTATAGTTAGCCGTTTTTGAGATATTTCGATTTTTAAGGTTCGATGCATATTTTTTTTACATTTTCGATTTGGGCATTACAAGTAATTAAGATGATCGTTTAGATTGTGTTTTTAAACATAGCAATAATTCCTAACTCCAAATAAACACAAAAATATTAATTTTCCAATATTATTTTTAACAAATTAAATTAATTATTTACAACTAAAATGCTATTGGATAGCTAGGACAAACATACAAAATCTAAAGTAGTTGCTCGAAATGTAAACCCAATTGTGCAATACACAATTCACATCTACGAATGATCGAACATGGTATAGCATTATTCAAATAAGGCCTTATTTCATCACATGCATTCCTGATTCTGTCTATTAGCATATCTCTTGTGGTTACGGGAGTCTGGTACACGTTTCTTTTAGAAATCCCCACACAAAGAAATCCAATGGATTTAGGTCAGGGGATCGTGGAGGCCAGGAGACTGGTCCTCCACGGCCGATCCATCTTTCTGGATAGTTTTCGTCCAGCCAGTTTCTAACTATTCTCGAATAAAACGTTACTTAAAAACTCCCTATTATTATCAGTTCTATCAAGAATCCACTGACAAAATGTGATTCTTCGTTCTCCGTCCTCTAGCTGTAGTTCTTGCACAGGTTGCAAATGGAAAGGACGTCTATGGTCATTTCTAAGAACACGGTGAACATGGCTTGCTGAAATTCCCAAGGCACCAGAAACTCTCCTAACACTTGTGGTCGGATCTCTATCAAACTCACGCAGAATCATACGGGTAAATCTGCGCTGACGAACATTTATGTTTTGATCCCTTTGGAGATTTCCAAAACCATTTTCAATTATTTGGCGATGCACTCTTACAAATACTGAGCGAGTTGGATGTCGGCTGTTTGGAAATCTTCGTGCGTATGCTCTGGCTGCTTCTGCTGCGTTTCCATTTACAAAGCCATATACAAAATGAATATCCGCTAACTCTTGATTGGAGAACAAAAATGGTATTTTTATAAAACTTACAAAAAAAACAGGTAAAAGAAACAACTAAATTTCGTGCATTCACAATTGCAAAAAAACGTTTCAGGTTTCAACAGACAACAAAACTAACTGTCAACCAATTGACGTTTAACCTAATTCTGCTTTCAATTTCAAAAATATTTGCAGGCACAGCCTACTTCTAAAAATTATCAAGATACTGACTTTTTAACGTTATTTTATCATGAATAATTAAAAATGCACCGAACCTTTAAAATCGAAATATCTCAAAAACGGCTAACTATAACGAAAATTCACAAGAGAGCTTTTTTATGTTGAAAAGCGCGAGGAATCAGTTTTTTTATTCAAAAAGCAAAAAATTGCACTAAGAAAAGATTTTCTGTCTTTTTAATACACTACAGGTACAGTAGAGAGCGCCCTCTAGCGGCTACAGTAAAACTATGCCCATGGTTCATTTTGTCGTACCAAAAAACTTTTGTATACCAATTTTCACTATTATACATCAAATATTGTTCGAAATATTTAAAAAAAACTATTTTAGAAAGTAAATTTAAACACCCTGTATTTCGGAAGCCACGCATTTTTCGACCCATGTTTATATAGACTGTATGCATTAATTTTAAACGTTCTATCGACTCTTAAAGTTATGCAACAGTAAACTGAAACACCCTGTATAATCAAGTACCTCATGAGATATCTCTCGATTGCAACATAAGTATCTATGAGACACCTGCGACTAACTAGTTCCCGTAGGTTTCTTAAGTATGACGAGTTAATCTTACCAGCCACATACTCTATGTGTGTTTCCCAGGAAAGTATTTTGTCTATGTAGATACCCAGACATTTGTGGGTTTCTACTTTCTCTATGGTATTACCATTGTTTTTTGAAACACCCTGTATACAATTTTCAATCACTAACCATTAAATGTAATGCTCTGAAGAAAATCTGAAGATACGCGATTTATAATATTTTATGCAACAAAATATATAACTTAATCAAAAATGTTATAGACGTTTCAAAAATATTAATGTTACAAATATACTTTCTTTTTCATTCACTAGTGTCCAAAATATCCCAGTGCCTACGTCACTGGTATAGCCTGTATCTACTATGCTGTTGCTACTACATATACATGGTTGCGATTCTATATATTTATCCATTCTTGACATATATTTTGATCGATTGCCAAATTATAACTTCAACGCCCTGTATCAGTAAAGGGGATTTGAGGGCCCAATTTTGTAAAACGGCTTTATGAGCTTACTTGGTACTCTAAAAATATTATTTCATTGGATCAGCCTGTATAACCAGGTTGGATCCCCCTTCCACCACTCCAAACAACAATCGCTCTGCTCATAAACTGACTCAATAACGCTCATTTCATACTTTTAATTTTCCGATACATTAAGGATTATATGATTTCCACTCGAAGGGAATTCAACGGCAGAATGGGGATGATGGTAACAACAAGCGACAGACAGTTGAAAGCTGAATACGTCCATTTCAATATAGAGCAGAAATGATGTGCATCGACACAGTATAAGCCGATACTCACAATTGAAGTTCCAGTTTCCGTGATAGTCCAAGACGACTATGCAATAGAAGCAATAATCAGAGGAAAACGGTGATCTCCAGTTATTGGGTGCCGACAGATACATTCAAAGTTTTGTCGCCGTTTACAGCAATATCTGAAACGTTTACCTATCCCAAGCTTGATTCATGATACTGTATTGATATATTTTTCTATGAAGAACGAAATTTACTATTTGGTTTCTAAGATAAACCAAATAGCATTACAAAGGGTTCTTATGAGAAGCACCATTTCTCTTGTATTATTTAAATTTGATAGAAACAATTTTATAGAGAAGTTTTGAAAAGTAAATGAATCAGACGGCATTAAAACTTTATCTCAAAAGTTGTAGACTAACCAGAAGTTTTCAAGGAAAAAATGATAAAAATGCTTGAAAACTGACCACACTTATGTTCAAATTCTTCAGTACGTCTTCAGGTTTTGAAAAAACTCATGGGTGACAAGTCTTACCGGTTTCAAAGTAGTATTTAGATGCCCCGAGTATTTTAGTTTCATGTCGAGCGTCAGCTGTCAGTATTTCACTTTTTCTTGTTCAGAGGGACTTTACATTGTTCTCTACACAGTGCGCATTTTAACCAATACAAATTATAAATTATAAATGAGTTCCACAATTAAAGGTAGAAATATGGGTTAACGTACGGCACTGATCTGAGTGTTATCATGGAAAATACATACTATAGATGCCAGATAGGTCTAACCATCCTGCATCTAAGAAACTTTGGGAGAAAGTAGAACGTCGAACGGCATGAGCTAGAGAGTATAAGAGTCTCTCTACGTCGATTTGCGAATTATTGGTAGGTGGTGGCCATCAGATTTTTCATTTACCTGCGCATAATGCCTTGAGTTGTTATAACCACTTGGTTGATTTCCTTTTCGCTTGTCTCCAATATTAAACTTAAGACCTATACCGCACTGATGAGCTGCTAGTGGTTGATCATGGTAACAGGAGACGGAAAGCAAACATATGAACTTCATAGTAGAGAGGAGAAAGCACGACTTACCTCCCAGTTGCAATTCAGCTGCTGCTTGAGCGGTATCACCCTCAACTCTCCTAACAATGCACTGATACATGCCCCTGTCTTCTCTTCCAACGTTGTTCACCACTAAGGTCTCACTGGAACCACGTCCCGTACTTGGTAGCTGTCGGCCATCTTTGAACCATGTTACTAGATGCGGTCCCCCCGTTTGTGCAGACACTACACACCTGCAGGTGAAAGAATACGCGTAGTTAAAACTCACCCTTAATTATACCACAGAGCTCTCCATTGCGACAGCATGTCAAAAATCAGGTCATAGCAACGCCAAATTGAGTCCCATGCGTTTGGTAGCATTTCTGTTGCTGTGACATTAAAGCCGTGTTCGTAGAGCGCCCCACAAATTCCGTTCTGCTACGCTATATAGACGAAATTCACACGGCCAGATCCCGGGCACAGTCATCAACAAGTCACCGACCACTGTACGAACAAACCTTTGGATGTATTCGATTTACTTATTGCTACTGTTTTTGGTGGTAATATTGGATATAAGAAGCTCTCCAAAAATGATCTTGCATAAAAGCATGTGGGTGCATGATACATTTCTTGATTCTTCAGTATGACATGCGAGATGTCAGATTAATGAAGCGTAGCCACCCCTGGAAAAGATCCGTCTGGTCGGCCATGGAATTTGGTAGGGGAGGCGTCAAGCAGTTGGGGACACGATTATCAAAGAGACCGACATCATTATAATCTGTGATTATACCCTATAAGGCGAATTGAAAAATTAGTGACAGTAGTTTCAGAGGCAGAAAATAAAAATACAAATACATTGAACAAGGATAAAAAGTAAGTTGTCCTTGGAATACATTATTGCCAAGATGAAGAGGGTTGAAATTGTGTATACGAAATCGAGGAACAACATGGAACATTCAGAAATCTTTTAGTAAAATCAACAATCTAAGACAAGCTATCTCGGAATTGAAATCGAATAAAAATCCAAGTGAGAGTCTCAAAAACTACGAGTATTCTAAATTATTGTTTCAATATAATCGGAGAGAAATTATTATTATTCGTGAAACATTGTTTAGTACATGGGGAATTCCCATCAAAATTAAAGTATTACACAATTACTCATGTGACAAAATTTGAAAATTCTCAGCTGTATACAAATATGCGACCGATTAATGTATTGGCAGATGTCGAGAAGCTGTTCGAAAGGATAATATACAAACGAATAATTGAATTCATTGGAGGTGGAAGACTGGAGAAGTATAGATGAGAAAAATATTGTATCGTAACAGCATTTTTAGACTTCAAAAGGGCATTTGAGACTATACATAGGGACAAATTGTTGATCAAATTGCATCACTATGGCTTTAAAGGATCAGTATTAAACATTTTACAAAATCATTTAGTAAATAGAAGTAAAAAAATACTAAAGTTGGAAATATTATGTCAAGCGTTCAAAGTATATCAGTAGTGGTGCCACAGGGAAGTAAATTAGGGCTGTTACTATTTATTATTTTTACAAATGATATCTCTAGCATTTTAGAACACTACAAAATTCAAATATTTGCGGGCGATACATTGATATATATATATATATATATATATATATAGCACATACGCATTTGGACACTGCTTTAGAACTGTTAAAAAGTGATATTAAACAAATTATGAATTGGTTAAATGTCAATAAACTTAAATTAACCACTAATAAAACAACCTGTATGTCAATGGGAAAAAAATAAATTACTTCTATAAAGTTTCCCATAATAGTATGTATTCAAAAAAATCAACCATCTTGCTTACAGCAAATGAAAACAAATTTTCAAAATTACAAATTCTACAAAATAAAGCTATGAGAATCATTTTAAATAAAATCAAATATACTAGGATTAAGGCTTAGAGAAACTACAGTGGTTGAATGTTAAACATTTCATATAATTATTTAGTTCTCATTTTCATATTTAAATTTAAAGATCATTTATTACCATCACAAACTTACATAATCATTATCATAACTACGAAACTAGAGGCAGTATAGATTTTCATCTGCAAAAGTAGCATAACTAGTAAATATATATTTCAGGAGGGAGTATTTGAATTTAGTAAATTGAATAATGTTATTAAACAGAGTTCGAATTTAAAAATGCTTAAGGTGAAATTAAAACATCACTTCATGAACAATTAAATTTTAATAGACAAGAATGTCAATTTACAGAAAATGGATTGAGAAAAAATATGTAACCGAATCATTATACAAAACTGACTTTGTAGCATTGATGCTAAATAAATCTTCAACAACCAAACAACCAAAACAATAAGTAGTTTTTATAATATTGTAGAAACATTAGCTTCATGCGCTTAATGGAAAATATATATACCTGAATTCTGCACTCCCACCCATATGTACACTCAATAGCGGTGGTGATATTTCTACATGTAGAGGTGTTGATACCGCCAGTCGCATTTCCGCACTTGTTTCTCCGCCAGCGTTCGATGCTGAACATCGATACACACCACCTGGAAAATAAACATTTCAATGAGTAAATTAGATTTACAGTGCTATTTTGAATACCCAAGCGCCAATTAAAAAGTCAGTATAGTTGCCGCTCCTTCATATGTTCCTTTTAGTTTGATACCTTTAAAGGCTTCCTAGTACCCCCGACTATTTTATTATTTGAAACAAGATATTCGTTTTTACATAGGTTTTTGGTATCAACAAAATCGAGAAAATTAAATATATCCATTAAGCAAGTTGCGATTAAAAACTATGTTTTTGGTACGCAAAAAATATTGTCAATTTGAAGTTGTACATTGTTGTCATGATGTTACAAGCAATGACAAAGCAAAATCATACAACATCTTAGACTATGTCATTTCCAAAACGAAAAAAGTAGAAATAGGAAATGCACAAGGTTTTGTCGCATGGTGAAGCAGTGTTTCGATCTTTCCGTATCAAATTTCACCTTATTTGCCTTTTCAATAGAGGTAGTCGATAACCACGTTCTACAGGGTGTTTTCAAAGTTCAGTCATTTATTTTAACTGCTCGCCAAAAGGAGTTGATATCCCAAAAACCGCCTATATAGTCAGTATCACGAAAGATAACTATTACGTCATACCATACATTGTACTGAAATGGACGTACGTCGATGATAGAATCACGATGTCAGGAATAATTACAACAAATTTATAATATGATTTGGGAAGTTAGGTTATTTCACTGATTATTTATATTTTCATTTTATTCAATGGTTTTGAGTAATAATAACCTTAGAACCGTGTTTTTGTTTTGGAAAAAATAGTTATGATTAGAATACCTCAACACAGAACCACCAAAGACCAAAGTATTATTAGAAAATAACCTAACCTACTTTAACATAACCTAACTGTTTATCTTTCAAATCTATCTTTGTCGCATACATGCATATTAGCAATATAGTTTGTTTAGACAATAAAATTCTGTTTGTCTGGCATATCTGAAACTTCATTAAAAATATTCACAAATCGCTGTCGCTTGTCTTTACTACGGACTAAAATGATGACGCAATCGTCATCTTTCGTGATTTCGACTTTATATAAATGTTGCATAATAAAGAAAAATAGTAAAAGATTAAACATTTAAAAAAATAATAATTGTATTGCACAGATTTTTTGATATTCTCGACCACTGCCATGTAAAATTTTAGCGTAGTTTGTTTACTACTCTTATTGTTTATCTAAATTTGGCAAACTTTTTGTGCTGTTGTATGGTTTTCAGTACGAGTCTTTGGTTTGATAAGTTGTATCAGTCGTTTAATGGAGCGTATACTTTCATTTATCAGATTATTTTGCGCGAAAAAATGGCCCATGTTTACCAAAACAATGAATTAGTGGACGTAATACTAACATACGGAGAGTGCCAACAAAATGCAGCCACAGCATGCAGATTGTATGCGAGAAGGTCTCCATTAAGAAATCATACGGCCCCACGAATGTTTGTAAATTTAGTTATCAGACTTCGTGATACAAGATATTTAAAAGAACAACGAGAGGTCACGCTGGAAGATCTGCTCAACCTGAAATGTTACAAATTGAGTGAGACATTTTAGGAATGAACGAGGATGACCAAACAATGAGTACTAGATCCATAGCAGCTCAAGCTGAAGTTCATTATCAAAGGGTACAAGCGATACAACCTTAAGGTCATCTTTGAAGAGTTGCAATTTGCCAGTTGCTCTTAGAACAGTTCGGCAGAAATGAAAAATTCACGAAATTAATTTTGTGTACAGACAAGGCCACATTTACACGAAATGGAGTGCCCAATTTCCACAACAATGATGTTTGGCCAGTATAAAATTGGCATGCTGTAAAAAGATTTCATTTTCAACATAGATTTTCATTAAATGTTTGGGCTGGCGTGATAAATGGCATTCTTATCGGACCCTACTTGTTTCCACCTCGTCTGATTTAGATTTTCTTGGACACAATGTGCCACACTTATTAGAAGATTTTCCTCCAAATGTGAGACAGGATGTGTGATTCCTACATGATGGGGCTTTACCACATACCAATAATGAGTTTTCGAATATATGGATATAGCGCAATGGACCCATTCCTGGTCTGCTCGCTCCTCGGACTTAACGCCTTGCGATTTTTTTCCTTGGGGCTATTTGGACGAGTTGGTGTATCATGATGGAGCAGTGAATACTCTGGAAGAACTTCAACAGCGCACTGAAAATGCTTGTGATTTAATTCGTGGACACCAGGATTTTATTGTTGAACCGTGTAAAGTCGCGAAATCGCCTAGCAAGATTTTGTGTTAATCAAACAAATGGGGACAATTTTGATCAGTTTTTGTAAAAATGATATCCATTCAATTTGATAATGATTTTTTGTAAATAATTTTAATAATGTTAGCTAACTCTCTTATTATTGTAAGAAAAGGTACTGTTAGCGTCATCTGTTGGGCGAGTCTTCTACTGAGCTTCATGGCCGATCTCTGCTTTTACGCGAACCACGACCGCACAAGCCGCTAGGCGGCGTCTGTGAGGACCGTGGCAGTGACCCACCTTCTAGATGGACGCGAAGTGATCTCCATTATTCTAGTTGTCGCTTTGTGGTTCATCAGACCTTTCTCGAAGCAGCAATGGGGACTATATATAACTCGGCGGCCGGGAGATGGAAGCAGAGTACTGAATACGGTAGATTAGCAGAGCGGAGTGGAGTATAGTGCAGTCAATGGCGACATAAGAATTAGTCAGACATAAATAGTGGTGCACATAAATGTTCTATCATGTTAAATAAATGAGTGCCTTCTTTTTGTGGAATCCATTGTTTTAATCCACACCCAAAAGAACCCAGAAAAATGCTACATTATGCAACTTTTATGTAGGTAATTTTTGGTATATGAACTTCTTTCGACGAGTTCTATAAGCTGTTAAAATAAATGACTCAACTTTGAAAACACCCTGTATAAAAGTAAAAAATTTGCGATATCTACAATACGGAAAATGTTGAAGCAAAATAATTTTTAAATGCTGTTTTAAGCTAACAGTTCAACCTTTTTATTGTAAACCACATAGCTATGATGACGTCACTTATGTTATCGCTCTTCGAAAAGAGCACTGGACCATGATTGATTACCATGGCTGAAGGCTTTCATAAACTGTTAATAGCCTGAGAGTCATGTATGCTAGGATGAAATATGCTGATGCTTGATTTCCAATGGAGTATTGCCAAAAGTTAATAGTCACTTAACGTACTGTCGCTTCGGAGCGGGTAATGTTTATATTCCATTATCTAGGTGCCGCGTCGCGTATGATTTCGTCAGACATTCGTGACTGTTTTTGTAGCTCTTCTGATGAGAAACTATGAAAGGTGAATGTTTCTACACACTGCAGACAAGATATAGCCGAGGTATTGCTGATATATGATTGTGATGGCCGGGCTATAGATGTCATATTATAGCCATTGATGCTGATTAATTTTCAACTCCTGTCTGTTGATTGCAATTATCAATATTTTTTATTCTTCCTTACACTCAACCTAGAATCACGCTCCATATCGTGGAGCCTTAAAAGTATCTTTCTCGGCGACACATCCTTTGCTGGGTATAATTTTATTTAATTTTTTTTTACTTTACGTAAAATAAATTTTGTTTGAATGTAACAAGATACGACTATCACGAAAGGTAATTCATTTCCGTCGATCTGGGATGACTGACATCCTGTCTCAAATTTTGAATACATTTCCACAAATTGTTATTACTATACCTAGGATAAAAATGCATAAAGTCCCAACCCACCCTACCCTATCTAGGCCACAAGATAAAGATATTGAAGCCTACTTGATGGCATTTGGAAGGGCAAGGCTTGGAAGTTTAAAAAAATAAAATATAATTCGCCATGCTACATAACCTGAAATACAGTCAAAAATCGTCTTTTGCAATTTTAGGTTAAGGTATCTCCAAAACTAGACCCAATTGTGACGGTTTCGGATTCCACGCATTAAAAACCTTCGGGACAGTGTACTTTAGTTAGCCTAATCATAGTAGACAAAATACCCCTGGTTTGCGAAATAATTGTAAAGTCTGCTTTTATTGGTGCAAGTTGTTCAAGGAGGTATTCAAAACATGGATTAATAAAATGGGTACACCAATTTTTGTGGAAAAACTTGTTATTCGATAACAAAGAATGAGAAAACGTGTTCTTTTTTTGGGATTCAATCGAAAGTGTGGGCCGGAATGAAAAAACTCTTCATATAAGATTTTTAGGTATTTATAAGACCTACAAAATGAGATCACACTTATAAAGATCCGGCTAATACCAAAAAAGGTATGACCGAAAACCGAGCGAAACTGCAGGTTTCAGCACCTGTTGGTAATGTGATGATGGTTCCTCGCAGATATTTGAAATTGTTCAAATTTGTAGGATTCATACCTCTAAATAACCACAACAAAATTAGAGTAGATTGGTCAAGTAGTTTTTGAGAATTTCTAATTGTTTATCCCAAAACACCTGTTTTCCGGCCATCACTACTAGTTTATTGAGCAATATACAGGGTTAGTTCAAAGGGCATTTCATAGCAAAATAGACTAGCTTACCTTTCCGTTATGAATCGCAAACCATTCCGGAAGATAAATGTCATTTTTATGCAAAAAAGGATGTGTTACGTTTTTCTTCTGAACAAGTTCAAACATTTCGTATTTGTGAGTAATTCGCAACAAGATATGATAGGCACATATAAAAAGTTTTCCCACAAAAATTGGTGTACCTATTTTATGTGTCCATGTCTTGAATACCCTCTTGAACAACTTGCACCATTAAAACCAGATTTACAATTATTCTGCGTAAAAATCTTGTCGGTCTGTATTATTTTAGCCTGACTTAAATCATCCTCACCTAAAGTGTACCTATACTATATTTATGTACATACCATCCTCGGGTGTGACGGCTTCGATGGCCAGTACAGGTCCCAGCTGCCTGACTCTTGGCCCTGGCATAATGAGGCTTGGCTCCAAGCCAGCATGATTGTACCATCTGTAATAACGATCACAATTAGCGTCGCCAGTATTTATGGGAATGTCCGTTGGGTATCGTAATATAAAGGAAATTAACCGTTTGGAATCATGGGTCTTATCAATAAAAATATTGCTTGGAATATGGGGCAACACTAGAATGTTATATGTCGCAAAATATTGGAATAAGTGCTTCTTGGAGAAGTGAACCTTAAAATCAGATGAAACAAACAAATCATTATAAAGGCGATACATGGTGACCCAGAATAAAAGATGACACTCTCTCGGTTGTATTTAGATTGTAGATCACTCACATAGAGGGTGATGAGAATAAACCTTCGTTTTACGAAAGTTTTTTACTAAATGGTAAGCGAAAATGAAATAAATCAAACAGTAACAAAAATGATGTATTTGATAGTACATGGCGACGGCCATCTTCACCTTGCCGGTAAGCTCGGGTCCATGGTCTTGAAGTGGACGAAAGGTCAGTAAAAAGTGATTTATTCGTATTTGGTTTGATTTGGTCATGAAAAATTACTGTTACTGAAAATAATGTCACCAAATTTTTTTGAGCGGCTACCCTACAGAAATATAGACCCCTAAAAGACGCTACCGAAATTCGTTTTTTTAAATTACACTTGAACGACGGTGTATGATTCAAAGAAATTTTCAGGACATAGAAAACAGTTTAGATCGCCAGAGATAAGCTAACCTCAATAGAATCTTCTGTTATACCTTGTATAATAATGGCGCAAAGACGATATTGTTGAAAAGCCCAATACATATTTAAGCTGACAAAAAACTACTCTTGTCCGATCAGATGTTCGAAGGTGAAGTCAGTTGTTTTTGAAAAAAAAATGATCTTGCGTCAGTACAATCCTATCAGTTTTGGTACTAGATCCAGCAGCTTGGATTCACCGTTTTGAAAGTAATTCTATTATTAAATTTTTAATGACCACTACAAAAAGCCCAGCGATAGAAATGTTCAAAATTGATATGAACAGTATTGAAACAAAACCTTTTTTTTATCGAAATTAAACATGAATAAACACATATTTTTAAGTTAAGACTTCCAGTAGCATTATCTAGGGACAAGTGTCTATGTAGGACACTTTTATAAGAAGTAAATTAGCGCCTATTTACGTTCGCGAACAGTGACGGCCTTACCCATTGCGAGGCTCTGGGCGGCAGGTGTTTGCGAGGCCCTTCGTCCTTCGTAAAAAGTATGTGATGCGAAAGTAGGTCTGGTTGTTTGGTTTAGGTATTTGTCATGTTTGGCGAGAAATGCTAAAGTTATACAAATAAATTAAATATGAGTTTTAAAATATGTTACATTGAAAGATTCACAAATTTACAAATACAGAGGTGATAAATTTTAAAATTGAAGCTTGCGGCTTTACCTTATACTAAAATCTCTAATTAAAGCACAATAATCTAACAAATAAGCTACGTCATTTTCGATTGAAATAATAACAAGGGCTGATAGATCATCGAATTTGTCAAATATGTTTTAATAATTTTAAACCTCGAAAGACTCATTTCAGCAGACGCAACTGTAACAGGTGTGGTGGCAATAATTCTTAGGGCTATTTCAATAGTGAGGTAAACTTCAGTTATTTTTTTTTTGTATTTTGTATTTCGGCACCGAGATAACGTATCCGTTTCCTTCATACACACGGATGAACATATTCAGTTTTTCGTACAATTCATGTCCATCAATATCACATGATTCCCCTACTGTCATAGATATTTGCAAGTCCCCGCATTGCTTCAAAAGTTCACTATCACTAATTTACTTTAATCTCTTTAACCCGCTTTTTATATTATACATGAAATCAAATACTAATCAAATTGCCTTTTTTACGTCGTCTTCTGACATCTGAAGGCTTTGTAGTTAGCTCCATTCGATTTCATCGCGGTATTTGTTCAGGATATAAGTATAATCTCTTATCATCTCTCGTTATTTGAAGGTCGTGATCAGGTCATGGTTTTAAATCAACGATATCAAAAAGTAACGATATCAGATCACATATAAAAAAATAACGATTTCTGCTATATGTAACCGCCAATATATTAGCTTAGTAGAATCTAGTTCATGTGGACACTTGAATAAACGTTCCCTCATGTCTAATGCTTTGTAAATTTAATAACATTAGAAGATTTTGATGTATTCGCTGTTACAGAGACGTGGCTAAATGAAAATACTCGTATTACTGATCTGATACTGAGTTGGAATCTATGTTAAATCAAATTTGCGCGCTGAAAAGTAGATACACATACAAATTTTGGTGCGTATTTCGAAAACATTTGGGTTAAAGTGGTTGCGGGTGAATGTGCATTTTATTAGTAGGTGTTTTGTACCGACAACCGGCTCAAAGCATACAACAATGTGCAGATTTATTGGGAGATCTGAATATAATTTTTTTTGATAACAATATATTCTCATTGAGCTTTGAGATGATGGGGTTCACATAAATTGTAACGTGTCACAGATAGTAACTGCACCATTAATCGAACCAATATTTTCAAATAATACTCAATCATGCAGATGTTCTTCCGTCGTGGACACGAATCGTATTTCGAACCACAATCTTGTCTTTTTTAATTTTGATATTCCATCTTATAAAAGAAAACAGATATTTATCACAATCAGGGATATCAAAAATTTCAGTGAAGGTTATTTTTTATCGATCTTTCTACATCGGATATAAACGAATTATCTACGAAATCTAATATTGATGAGAAGGTGATCCACATTACAAGTGTTATCGTGTAAACCTATAATAAGCATGCACCTTTTAAAACTGTAAGAGTCAATAAGCCACCATCACCTTGGTTAACTAATAAACTGCGCACTGTTCTTGCAAAAAAGAATACTGCACACGCTTTATATACAGCTAATGGGACATTGGACGCCTATAATAACTTCAAATCGCTTGGACTCTTGAAAATTTGGCAAATGAGAATGGTTCAAATAAATTGTGGAAATATCTCAAACAACTTGATATAAATTTCCGTAGTAAACCAACCCTTGCAGCAAGTTTTAATGACCCTACCAAAATTAGCGATTATTTTATGTCTATTTATAGCTACAGATTCACTAGTTTGCGAGAACTATTTCAAAAATAAATTAAATAAGATTAGTTCAAATGACGTATTACAGGCAATAAGGAGCCCAAAATCTGATGTGAAAGGAATTGATGGTATGTCCTTGTCAATGATCCAACTTTGCCTGCCAGTTATTCTCCATCACATCGTCCACATCTTTAACGACTGTTTGGAAAAAGGCTACTTTCCAAACACATGGAAACAAGCTCTAATTATTCCAATTCCTAAAAAAATGAAACTTACTGAGTATAATGATCTCAGAACTATCTGTTTATTATCAGTTTTATCCAAAATTTTAGAAAAATCAATAATCAAAATTGACCGCTTACGTAGAAAAATTCTTTGTACTTTCTAAAAATTAGATAAGAAAATGGCACAAGCGTTAATCTCTATAGACTATTCGAAAGCCTTTGACAGCACTAATCATAAATTATCACTTGCTAAACTAAATTACATGGGACTTGTCAATGAATCCCTTTCATTTTTCGACAGTTACCTTCACCAAAGAACTCAGTGTCTTTCTGTCAACCAAGAAATGCCTCCAGTGACAATAATTCCCTCAGACATGCCTCAGGGCTCTGAATTGGGGCCACTATTGTTCATCATATATACTTTTGACTTAAGCAAGTATTGATAATTCTCATGTCCAGTCATTTGCAGACGATACGCAGTTGCTCCATTATTTTAACCCCAATAATGTCAATAACATAATAACCCAAATTTTACAAAGCGATGTTAGTAAACTAATTAAATACTCTTCAGATCGTAATCTACTTAACAATCCACAAAAATCTAATATGTTATTATTTTGCGCACAAAGAAAACATACAATTACCACAGCTCTTGAATAAAATAAATAGACAAATCTTGCAATCTTATTCTGCAAAAATTCTTGGTGTTGTTTTTGATACAAAATTAATGTTTACTGAACATGTTGAAAGTCCTTCCCAAAAACCCAACCTAAGGATTCGTACTCTGATAGCAAACATGTATTTGCTAAATTTTAAGTTGCGTTAAAAACTATGTGAAGCATTGGTCATATTATCTGTACTAAATTATTGTAATATAGTATACTACACTTGTTTAGGCAATTTCACTAAAAACGTCATTCAAGTTATTAAAAACAATTGAATACGTTTAAAACCTTTTAAAAATTAATGACTTGGTCAAGTTTCACTATTCAGTTTCTGTTCACAAGTTGCTGCTCACGTCTAAACCCTCTTACTTGAGGGAAACTTTCCATTTAATAATGATGTTCACTGTATAACTCTCAGAGAAAGCAATATCTATACGTCTACACTGTTTAAACGCAGTTTTTCCTACTATTATTTATGACCTTCCTAAAGTATATAAAGAATTTTCATTACCTGTCTTTTGACAAAAGTTAAAATAATATTACTCAATATTCCTTCTTTAATCCAGGCTAACAATTTTTGGTGTACTTGGGTTTGGAAAGTATGCCTGTTTCTATATTTATGATTTACTTTCGATGTAATGAACCAAATCTGCTTGTGGACAGTGTATAATTTTGAACATCTGCTAGCGACTATATGGTTAAGTGTACGAATAGCAGCATGCTAAACTTCGCCATGTATGTCTGACATTTAGCAATACTACAATGTAATTGCGGATAAATAAAGACGTCTAATATTATTATTGTTATTATTATTATTAGTCAATTTATCAACACCAGATCAAATCAAGGTTCAATACTTTAAGGTAAACTATTTGGACCTTGGTTAAGTTGATGGCAGTTAATTGGAACAAAAATCAAATATTTGCTCGACTATTGTCGAGTACAGTAGGCAACCCATTATCGATCCATTTTAATTACTGTGAAGCTAGCGCGAAAAGTCAATTAACATTATTTAGCAAAAACTCGTACAGAAAAGAATAAAGCAACGACAAAAACTG